TATTATTATTTTTTTTTTTTTTTTTTTTTTTTTTTTTTTTTCCTGTCAGAAAAGTGCTATATTTCGATAAAATAATTATCAGTTGGTTTGATATTTTGTCTCATGAAATTACATTTAAAGTGAGGCTTTTTGTGCCACTGCATACTTTCCAGCGGATAGAAGACTTCCTGAAATACAACTTGTTGCATGTTTTTCTTGCTCATCTTTCAGCTTTACTCTTCATGACGACTCATCTGAAGAAGGAGAAGCAGATACCGCATGCCTCTGTTGCATTTCGTGTTAGTGTTCTTCATATGAGTGTGTGACTCCTCTCCGGCCTTGAGGAGTGAGTTGTTTTCTATTATGAAGTGAATGAGTCATCTGGGGGAGGGTGAGATTGGACCGGTCGTTTTTTTTTCCTGTCAGAAAAGTGCTATATTTCGATAAAATAATTATCAGTTGGTTTGATATTTTGTCTCATGAAATTACATTTAAAGTGAGGCTTTTTGTGCCACTGCATACTTTCCAGCGGATAGAATACTTCCTGAAATACAACTTGTTGCATGTTTTCTTGCTCATCTTTCAGCTTTACTCTTCATGACGACTCATCTGAAGAAGGAGAAGGAGATACCGCATGCCTCTGTTGCATTTCGTGTTAGTGTTCTTCATATGAGTGTGTGACTCCTCTCCGGCCTTGAGGAGTGAGTTGTTTTCTATTATGAAGTGAATGAGTCATCTGGGGGAGGGTGAGATTGGACCGGTCGCTGTCCGGTGGAGCCAGTCACAGCCTGGGGTCTAAACTTGGATAGGGAGGGTCTTCAGTCAGCTGTCGTGTACCGCCGAGCACTTTCTGGACTTTGTCGACCGGTAAATCACATATAAACCAGTGGAAAGAGCTTACATCGTCAGTAAACTTCTAGAACTCCTACATGAGCGCAGTATTACGCGTAAACTTGGGTGCGTAATTACGCGCCTAGAGACTTTTTTTCAAACTGCGCTCTTTTTGATAATAGATTAATTTCGGACTTCTGACAGGAACGCGACGTTTTGAACAAGAAAAGTTCTCTAGAGTCACTGTTTTCCTAGTTTCACCATGGCAGAAGGGGATTACTACACTATGGGCAACCGACAGAGGATTCCAAGGGATCCGTTTGGTGAACAGTCGCTCGCTTCTCGATTTATGGACGATGACTTTGGACTGCCACCTTTTCACGACGAGTTATCTATGGACTGGCCCGGCTGGGCACGACCTCGACTGAGCACCCGCCTTGACGCGCCGTGGACGGGCCCGTTGAGCACGGGCTTCCCGCGGGGCTTCAGCGCCAGATACAGCGAGGGTCCGCGCCGATCCAGCGCTCCCCTGACCAACCCAGACGAGCCGTGGAAAGTGTGCGTGAACGTGCACAGCTTCAGACCTGAGGAGCTTAATGTCAAAACTAAAGACGGTTTTGTAGAGGTGTCAGGTGAGAAAACACGTCTGAACTTTGAGAAGGATGAGTAATTGATAACATATGTGACCTGGAGCACAAAACCAGTCATAAGTAGCACGGGTTTATTTGTAGCAACAGCCAACAATACATTGTATGGGTCAAAATTATTGATTTTTCTTTTATGCAAAAATAATTAGGGTAGTATTAAGTAAAGATCATGTTCTATGAAGATATTTTACCGTAAATATATCAAAACTTAATTTTTGATTAGTAAAATGTATGGTTAAGAACTTCATTTGGACAACTTTAAAGGCGATTTTTTTTCAATATTTTGAATTTATTTTATTTTTTGCACCCTCAGATTCCAGATTTTCAAATAGTTTTATCTTGGCCAAATATTGTCCTCCTATCCTAACAAACCATACATCAATGGAAAGCCATTTAATGGAAATGGAAAGGATAAGATGTCTCAGTTTGACCCTTGTGACTGGTTTTGTGGTCCAGGGTCACATATTTTATAGCCTATAATAATAAATCATGGAATAACATGGAATGTTATATAAAATACAACCAAAAAACTGATTACTTTATTTATATTTATTACCATGCTTATTATTTATATACCTCTTTTCACAAAACAAAACATAATAAATTTTGCCCTCAAGTATTTATTTATTTTTATTTGCATAAAGCATAACATAACTCTAGTATGTTTTTTTTTCTACGTTGTCTTTGTTTTTTTGTTTATTTATTTATTTGCAAAGTATACAACTCTTTTAGTATGTTTTATTTTTTCCAATTTAAAAACGTATTTATTTATTTATTTGTTTGTTTGTTTGTTTGTTTGTTTACTCATAACTCCTTTAGTATGAGTTTTACTTTTCTGGTTTGTTTTTCTAATTTAACACATATTATCACAATATCAACACAACAATTTATTTTACTTTATTTTTATATGCAACTTTTCTTTTGCTTCCCCCAACCATTATTTAATTGATTAATTAAATATAAAAATAAAAATAAAATCCCACCAGGTTTTCAATAATGCCATTCTGGACTCCATAGGCTTATTCCATACATCACTGTTGCTGTCTCTCGACTGTGGTTTGAGAATGAAAGGCCTTTGGCATGACTTACACATTACCAGCAAATCTCTTGTAATCAGCCACCTGCTGAGATCCCTTGAGGATCACTCACATAAACACACTGAATTAGACCTCAAATAGAGAGTCCCACACTGCACGCCTTCCCTTGCTTTTTTCTCTTTAATGACTAAAGTTCTTTAGTAAAACTTATAAAGCGGAAAGGGTAAAGGGCAGTTGCTGTCTGCTCCATAAATACTGTATATTTGTTGACTGTGACGGCATGGCAGAAGTTCAGAGTTCAGGAGAGAGCAAAGGCCTGGTGCGCTGGGATATTTAGAAACACTGTGCTGGTATGCCAGCTGGGTCACTCAGTCACAGTGTGAGGAGGACTCAACGTCACACAACCTCATTCTAAAAGTGTCACACACAGATATCAAAGTGAACTACCCTACGCTCTGTTTTACCAAAGGCCTTTTCACAGACCTCAGATTCTGGTGACCAGTTTTGGAACACCTTGAAAATCGGCAAAACATTAAGTTCAACTTGTCCTGAAGGAAAGCATTGTCAAACAAATGCCACAGACATGTCTAAACATCTTTTTTAAAAAAGGTAATTGCGACTTTTTATCTCACAATTGAGTTTTATTCTCAGAGTTGGGAGTTTACATCCCATAATTCAGACTTTTTTTTCTCAAAATTGCGATTGCAAGTTATAAACCAGGTTTTTTTCCTAATTGATATCTTGCGATTGCTAGTTTACATCTCGCAATTCTGACTTTTTTCTTCCAAATTCTGAGGTTACTTCTCACAACTGTGAGACAAAAAGTCACAACGGTTAGATGTAAACACAGAATTCGGAGGGGGGGAAAAACTCAGAATCGCGACAACTTGTAATTACGAGTTTGTAGCTTGCCGTTCTAAGATATAAACTCGCAACTATGAGAAAAAAAGTCGGAACTGTGAGATATACTCTAAAATTCAGAGAAAGAAGCCAGAATTGTAAGATGTAAGCTATAGAATTCCAAGAAAAACGTCACAATTGTGAGATGTAAATAAGAATTTTGAGAAAAAAAAAGTCAGAATTGCAAGATATACACTAGTATTCCCGAGAAAAAAATCAGAACAGCGAGATGTACACTCAGAATTTTGTGAAAGAATTCAAAACTGTGAGATGTAAACACAATTATGAGGGAAAAAGTCTGAATTGCGACATATAGACTCGCAATTACGAGAGAAAAAAGTCAGAACTGCTAGATATACTCTAGAATTCCAAGAAAAAGTCACAACTGTGAAATGTAAACTCAGAATTATGAGGAAAAAAGTCATTTTTCCAATTGTGACTTGTGAATTTTGATAACTTGCTATTCTAAGATATAACCTCGCAATTATGATAATTGAAAAATGAGGCAGAAATAAGCTTCCATATATACAGTACATATATACATTGAGAAACTTTGCTCTCCTTTCATTCATATACATGTTAAACTGTTAGCTAAAATTATATTAGCTGCAGAGTATGAGCATATGGACAGGAGGATAATCAATCAAATGTGTTTGTGCTCATAGTGTTCTCTAAAGAGCCAGTTATTGTAGATATGTAGGCCACGGCGAGACACAGTGTGGCATGACTGGCATTTAGTGACCAACAGCTGCAGAGAATGAGGCCAAGAGGCTTTTAAACGGGTCGTCTTGATTTGAAATAGCACAAAATATAGTGTTGCCTTCACAATGACTGTAAAACGGGAAGGGACTTCAAACAAAAAAAACAGCCTTATATGGACAGAAAGTCTTTTAGAATATAAACCTGTTCGAGTCTAATTTAATGTCAGTGTGGTAAAGGTTACACTTCTGTGCCAAACATTATAGCTTTTCATGAGCAACCAGTGCTGGGATCGACTTCAAGATACCTGTATATATTGATGTTGTGTTTAAAGCAAAAGCAATTCTCTACACCTCTTGTTTAAAAGCTGATAACTGCAGAATGTCATAAGTGTTGTATGGTCATATCGATCATCTCGCTTGAAGGCATCGATCTCTGCGTTAACAACTGCCTTTATGTCTTTTCACCAGGGAAGCATGAGGAAAAGCAAGACGAGGGCGGAATTGTTACCAAAAACTTCACGAAGAAAATTCAGTACGTATCATGATTGTATCAAAAGTTTCCGGAGGCTTCTGATTTGGAACCTTCTAGAATGATGACGCAACTTCCCGGAGTTATTAAAGCAACACAAAGCATTCCCACTCCTCCACCCGCCCCAACCTCTCTGCTTTCTTCTCGCTCTTCAGAGTCAAATTGGATGGTAGAGGCAGAGGAAAAGAATCAAAGTTAGGAGATAAAATAGAAAAGGGAAAACTCTCGTTAGACTCAGACAACATATCATGTGGCTCTGATGTCGACAGTAATTAAGCGACATGGTGATTTGAAGTTTTTCTTTTTTTCTTTTTTGTCACCATGCTGTTTCTCTGACAGAGACCAAGAAAGAGACTCTGAGAAAGAAAAAGAATTACATTATTGACCAAATGCAGCACAATTTTAGTATTCTAACACAAGAGACATACGTTATAATTCGAAAGTTTTTTTAAAATTATTATTTAAGTTTAACATGGATGCATTAAATTGATCAAAAGTGACAGTAAAGATATTTCTAATGGTATACAAGATTTCTGTTTCAGAAAATGTTCATCTCTGTATTTCTGTTTACAAAGAATCTTAAATATGTCACGGTTTCACAAAAATATTAAGCAACATTGATAATAATAAGAAATGGAGCAGCATAATATAATATGATATATTATAATATTGGTGATAATAAGAATCTTGAGCAGCAAATCAGGATATTAGAATGATGTCTGAAGGATAATGTGGCACTGAATGATGCTGAAAATTCAGCTTTGCATCACAGGAATAAATTAAATTTTAAAACATATTCGAATTTAAAAAGTTATTTTACATTGTAATAATATTTCACAATATTACTGTTTTTACTGTATTTTTTAATCAAATAAATGCCGCCTTGTGGAACATAAAATACTTTAAAAAAAAACTTACTGAACCCAAACTTTTAAACGCTAATGTAGGTCCTTCTTCTACTTTCAGTCTAAACTTCTTATTTGATCTGATGTTGACAGACCATGTTGGTGATGCGAAATGTTAGAGACTTTCCAACAGTGTTGAACATTAGCATTCTGCTGAGCTAAGAACACAATACTCTTATAGAAGATATAGGTCACGCATAAGTACTGGGTAGAATAATCAATTTTTTAATTAAGCTGATCGTTTTTACTGATAGCTTTCAGTATTGAATGAAATCTCAGTCTTTGTGTCTGAGTCACAGCGCAGGACGGCTGTAGCATTGCTGTGCTAATTGAACAGTGTCAGGCCACTGAAGGCAGCTACATGATAAGGTTTATATAAACTCCACAGAAGCTTGGCAACAAGCATGGAACCTTCCAGCCTTATTTGGCCATGATGACAGACAAAGCTCAGAGTCTCTCTGTCTCTCTCTCTCTCTCTCTCTCTCTCTTTGTATCTCTGTAACTCTCTTTCTAAAGGCAGAGATTAAAAACAACAATGAAACACTACATTAGCTCTGTTCTAAACCCTAGTAAGCTCTAACTGGGCACCATAGGTGTAAAATGCTGATCCGAACAGCATTAGACCAAAATTAAGTAGTATTAAAGCGTTAGTTCACCCAAAAATGAAAATTAGGCTGCGTTTTACTCACCCCCGAGGCATCCTAGGTGTATATGACTTTCTTCTTTCAGACGAATCCAGTCGGAGTTATATTAAAAATTGTCCTGGCTATTCCAAGCTCTATCATTGCAGTCAGCGGGTGTTGCAGTGCTTCAGTCCAAAAGAAGTTAAATAAAAAGCACCCATCCATAAAAAAGTGTCTCACACGGCTCCGGGGGGTGAACAAAGGCCTCCTGTAGCGAATTGATGCGTTTTTGTAAGAAAAATATCCATATTCAAAACGTAATAATCAATTTAATCTAGCTTGCGCTCACTGTTGTACACGGAAGCAGTTCCGGGCAGATGACGTACGTGGTCGGTGTTGCGCATGCGCCGCTCAGAAGTGACGAACGCGGAAACGCAGTGGAGAGATCAAAACAAAACAACGGTCACTAATTAGAAGTACAAAACGAGGATTTGTAAAGAAGAATGTCAGAGGATTTCGATATAAGCCAAGAGGAGACTGGTTTTCCTTTGCTAAAGTAAGGAAACTTTGCTTCTTTTGCTCCTGTAAACAAACGTTGGTTTTCACGAGACTCACCGGCGCATGCGCAACACCGACCTCATACGTCATGCTCCCGGAGCTGCTTCCAGTGTACAACAGTGAGCGCAAGCTAGATTAAATTGATTATTACGTTTTGAATATGGATATTTTTCTTACAAAAATGCATTAATTCGCTACAGGAGGCCTTTGTTCACCCCCCGGAGACGTGTGAGGCATTGTTTTTTATGGATGGGCGCTTTTTATTTCACTTCTTTTGGACTGAAGCAATGCAACACCCACTGACTGCAATCATAGAGCTTGGAATAGCCAGGACAATTTTTAATATAACTCTGACTGGATTCGTCTGAAAGAAGAAAGTCACACCTAGGATGCTTCAAGGGTGAGTAAAACACAGCCTAATTTTCATTTTTGGGTGAACTAACCCTGTAAATGTAGTTTTGTATGCTGTACCGTTCTAAAAATTTAGGGTCAGTATGATTTTTTTTATATATAAATTTATACTTTTATTCAATAAGGACACATTAAATTGATCAAAAGTTTCAGTAAAGGCATAATTTTAGTTACAAAAGATTTCTATTTCAAATAAATGCTATTTTTCTAAACTTTCTATTTATCAAAAAATTCTGAGGAAAAATGCATCGCGGTTTGCTCAAAAATATTAAGCAGCACATTTTTTTGTAATTTTTTTGTAAGCAGCAAATCAGCCTATTACAATGATTTCTGAAGGATCATGAGACATTGAGAACTGGAGTAATGATGCTGAAAAATGAGCGTTACCATCACTGGAATAAATGACATTTTAAAATATATTAAAATAAAAAAAAATTGAAATTGTATATAATAAGTAATAATTTGTAATAGTATTTCACAATATTACTGTTTACAGTAAACAATTCAGCCTTGGTGCACATAAAATAATTTTCACTAACATTAACATCTTACAGACTCCAAACTTTTGAATGGCACTATTCAGTGAACATACTTTTTTCCAGCCCCAATTTTTTTTGACAATGATAATATATTAAACGTGCTTAATATTCATGTGTTGAAAAGAAAAAGAAAAATAGTCAGTCTAATTAAAAATGGTCAGGTTTTGTGTGTTTTGTATATTTTTATGCTTGTTAGAGTAGGGCATCTCATCATTAGTTTAGAAACTTGTTAAAGTCAAACTCTATAAATAATTGCATGAGGGTTTCTTTTTTCACTATGTGTGGAGTTTCTGCCTATGCAGAGCATTACAAGGAAGGTTTGGATGTTGACTTTTGCAGTGCATTTAGTAATATATTGCTGACCATGGAAATGCATTTATTTCTATACACTGTGTTAAGTACAATTATTTTATCTAGCATTACCCAAACACTGCATTCACCTCTCAAATCTCTAAAGCGGCCCTAAAAGGTCCCCCACCTCTAGACTTGTGCAGCAGAAGACCAGCAGGAAGTGACTTTGTATGATATCACCATCCATTCATGTTCAAAACAAGTTCCACCCTTTCTCTGTAGAGCAGATATGAATTTATGGCAATCCAGGCTTAAAGGCATCACAATTCAAACAAACAGTAAGAACTCCTCTCATTAAAATGGCTGCAGTCAGTCTGCCTGCCGGGTGATTAGACAAGTGTGCAGATGGAAATTTCTGGTGATAAACTTTGCATCAGGAGGCGATTTGTAATAATTGGCAACAGACTCTATTTCTGAGCCCAGCACCTGGAGGGAGCAGGACTCGCTCACTTTCTCTCTCTTTCTCTCATTGCATGTGATGGCAGGCAGAACATTTAAATGAAAACCACGAAATGCATTGGGAATTATCTTCTAGCCACAAGCTGCCACACAGAAAATGAAGTTTGTTGGAAATTAAATCAAAATGAGAATATACTGAGTACACATGGGGATAGTGTGAGCAACTTGCACAATTCTGGGTTAATATCAACTTTAGACTCGAGTTAAAACTCAATTAGTCTGGGTTATGTTATTTTCACGCAATACTGTGTAGTTGTTAATATTAAACTAGCATTTGTCAGATTGTAACATTTGATTTCAAGCTTCAGTGCAACTGCAGAGTACAATCCAAAAGCGCTTTTTAAGGTGAAAAATTATGGTATGCATTTACAGTAGATATGTGACCATGGACCACAAAACCAGTCATAAGGGTCAATTTTTTGAAATTGAGATTTATGCATCATCTGAAAGCTGAATAAATACGCTTTCCATTGATGTATGGTTTGTTAAAAAGTTTTAAAGCTTTAAAGTTGTCCAAATGAAGTTCTTAGCCATGCATATTACTAATCAAAAATTAAGTTTTGATATATTTATGGTAGGAAATTCACAAAATATCTTCATGGAACATGATCTTTACTTGATATCCTAATGATTTTTGGCATAAAAGAAAAATAAATATAATTTTGACCCATACAATGAATTTGTTGGCTATTGCTTCAAATATACCCGTGCTACTTAAGACTGGTTTTGTGGTCATATTAGCTTTCAGTACAGTGACAATTTATAATGGCCTAAATCAGAATCTTGTTCAGTCTGTATCAAAGAGGTATATCTTCATTGGCATTGATGGTTCCATGAAGAAAGTTTAACATCCATGGAAACATTTCATTGCACAAAGGTTCTTTAGATTATTAAAAGGTTCTTCTTGTTGTTCTTTTAAGAACTGCTTACTGAAATGTTCTCTGAGGAACCCAATGGCATTGCTGTGAAAACCCCATTTTGGAATCGTTCTACTCTTTCTTCTTTCACAGAATCCCATCCGATGTGGACCCTCTCACTGTGTTTGCCTCTCTGTCTCCGGAAGGGGTTCTCATCATTGAAGCCCGGCAGACCCCTCCGTACTACCTCTACAGCAACGAAATGCCCGCAGAACCCATGGAAGAACCCGAGGCCAGACCTCAGGAACCCAGTATGGCTTCAGCCGAAGTCTTTGCAGCCAGGGAGTGAATGTGAGCTTACATGCCCTTGGTATTTGTTCCAAGCCAGTGCCAAAACCTAGTTTTATCAGTTTCATAAATTTACTTAAATCAAAAGTCATTAATCTGCTAGTGAGTAGTCCATAAATCAAGTGTTACTCTACATGGTACATGGTTGGATCAAATACCAGCAGCTTTCAGTTACTACGTCAGAGAAGAAAAATGAACGTGATAGAGCTACCAGTCAAGTAACAAGGGAAAGGTTCGAAATGAGATGAGACCAGACGAATTTCTGTAATAAAGAGTCTACGGCCATAAACATACTCTACGCAAGTACATAAATGCAAAAGCGTGGTTAAACATTGTAATGGCAAGTCTCAATCCTCAAGGGGGCGATAAAGCTCCCTTCAGATGTCAGCAATTTAAAGGGATAGGATAGTTCACCCAAAAATGAACTCATCATTTACTCGTCCACATGTTGCTCCAAACATGAATGACTTTATTTCCTCTATGCAACACAAAACATTTTTGTCCTTACTATAAGTGTCAATATGATCCAATGTTATTTTAAACCTCTTTGAGTTTCACTGTATGAACAACAACAAAGAAAAAGTTCTTCAAAGAGTCCTTCGAAAATCTTGTGTTCCGTAGAAGAAGCTCATACAGGTTTGCAAACAACAAGAGATTTAAGTAACATTTAACTCGTTTTCTAGCTTGAGTTCTAAGTTAAGATTCTCCTTAAACTGTTGCTTCGTCATATTCTGATCAGATAGAGGACAACACTGGGAATGCAATGCATGCTTTTGTTGCAATATAAATAACTTTGAGATGCAAAATCAACACTCTAAAAAATGCTGGGTTGTTTCAACCCAACGTTGGGTCAAATATGGACTAACCCAACTGTTAGGTAAAATTTTTACATTAAATTTTTAACCCAAAAGTTGGGTTAGTCCATATTTGACCCAAAGTTGGGTTGAAACAAAGTGAAGCTTGCGTAGCTACAGTTTGTGTTCACATACTTGTGTAGAGTATGTTTTGGACTTTCTGTCCCTCATATAAACCTAAACTTGTTTTGGCCCTGAGGAAGTGCTCTTTTAATCATCTGAGTATTTGTCATGTTGGACTATTTATATGGTCTTCTCTGAGAACTGGGCGTGAGTGCTGGAGCTCTTTCTCAAAGGCTGTTTATTGTCTCTTCTTCTTTTCTTATTTGTGTGTGTTTTTTTCTTTTTGTGTAGGGATGTATGCTATGCATTTTTATAATAAATGACATTTACGAAAGCAAGCCTTTTATTTATTACTCCTCTCTGCAAATCTGTAAAGTTAATAAATGAGCTGAGATGTTATTTCTCCTACAGCTTTACACCTGTTTGCTTATCTCACTTATATAACCTCCTTATGCTGTCGAGTAATAAATCAAGCATCACGCTTTCCTTGGTTTCTCTCTGTCTCACAATCCTCTGTCCTTTATCACATCTGGGTGTTCGCTTGGCAGATTGGCTGTGTGCTTATGGGAGCGACTCCATGGGAGTTGTCTTTGCACGGTGGCGGTAATTGGGTGACAGATTAGTGTGGAGATTATTCCGAACGCTTTGGCTCGCTTTCAATCTCCTCGACGAGGATGCGGAGAGAAAATATTGAAGAAAACGGTACTCTACTGCTGATTAACTGATGTGTTGGCCCATTGGATTTTTCTCCTCAAATCGATCTGCGCTCTCGCTTTGTATAATTTTCAGGGTTTGAGGTTAATGAATCACAAATATAAACATGGTAAAGAGGCGCTGACATCATAACCATCCGAGTTAGATGAGAATTACACAATATTTACTAGAACTCGAGGGATGTAATGTGCAACCATATTCACTGCATAAAAAATTCATATAAAATTCTCTGCAAGCACAAGAAGTCAACTAGGTGCCACCATGACAATCTCCATCTGTCACCTTTAGTTAGAAACATTTCTCAGCTTTCGCTGATTAATCGCTCGTGTTATTGTAAAGCACAACAAGAAGCTTCACACAATCTTGCTCAGGTCTTTATTAGTGCTAAGAAGATGCATGTTACAGTAAATTCGAAGGCTAAGGCAAGAGTTGGGATGTTGCTATTTTGTAGCCTACATTTTGTCTACATCCATCTCCTTTTGGAGCACCTGCTGAGGGGTGAACACCTCTTGGGTTTGCCCGAAGGTTGATTGCTCATCTTCTGTCACAGCAGGGTCTGTATATCCCTCTTCACCCTCCAGTTCTCGAGGCTGCTTGACCTCTGCCTGCTGTCCTTGCTCGGAGGTGATGGTGTCTGGAGTCTCTGGAGCCTGAGGCTTGTCTGCAGACTCCTCTCCGTCTCGCTCGGTGCCCTCAGTCGCCTCTTGAAAAGCAGCTTCTTTGTCCTCCTCTCCGGGATCACCAACCCGCTCTCTTCCAGACTCAATGGTAACCGCCGCAGCTCCTGAGTTGGACTGGGGTTGTGGTTCTCTAGATGGATCTACATCAGATACAGTCTGCTGGTCTGGTTCGGTGACCTCTCCACTTTCAGGATGCTCAGTTGAGACTGAGGGTTCAGGAGTTTCTCCTTCAAATGATTCTGGTTTGGCCTCGGCTTCAACGCTGGTTTGAGGCTCGTCTTGTTGTTTTCCTCCAACGGTTTCCTCCAGCTGTGTCAAACACAAAACAGCCTTTAAATGAAGTCAAGAGCTTAAATGCCACATCAAGACCCTAAAATGCCAGGGTCAGTGTACACAAAAATGATTAATTTTCTGGGTTGTGAAGAAAGGCCATATGTCCCCTGCGGGAAAATAAGCTTGCATTTAATCTCTTTGTTGGTTATTAGAACAATTATGAGCTTGGTAATTGGAATTGCTGGGCGATTAATTTATGAACTGACTTTAAATTTGGCATTTGATGTTTACGTGGCATTGTAGAATCGTATACCTCTAATTATTTCTGAAATCCTTTTTGCTTTCATGTAAAAAAACATTTAGTTTTGAAGCCTGTTATGACAGCATGCCTTAATAAATTGGAGTAAGCCGAAAAAGACATGCAACGGGTAAACAATATCTGGCATTTCTAAAGCAAGAAAAGTTGAGTGGCCACATCCTATGCAATAATATAACACAACAAAATAATTGAAATAATAGGTTTTGAGAAGTCCTTTTCTCCCATTTTCTTCCATGCCTGTATTACACCCTAGTTTCCCCTGCAAACTTAAATTGCTGTCAGCTTTTTGCCAATAGACTGGCTAATATTACAGCTTCTGGGAGACAGTTACTCTATCTGCGATGTCTAGCTTTTATACAAAACCAATTAGGCACCGGTGGATGGATGAGTAGTGTTTACCCCTTGGATTTACCGAGAAAAGTTTTCAATAATGATAATAATGGGGCCATTTCACTGTGAATGACAGAAAGCACCACTTAAATGTAATATGGTGATATATTATAAACAAGTGCAATGCATGCCACCCAGAACACTCAGTGCCTAATTTTGAGCTTCAATAAGTGAAAATGTTCAGACTGTATGATTACAGATTAAACAGCTGTCAGAACTAATCAATACCTGGATGGGGATATTGACATCAGCAGGGAGGGGAATGCTGGGTGATGGTGCTTCCACTGTAAGAATCCCATCGGAGGACAGACAGGACTGGAGACTTTCAGCTTCAACACCACCTGGAAGTCTTAGGCAGTGGTGAGAAAAAATCATTCTGTTAATTTGTTTTTATTGATCAACAGCTTTGTGAAAATTTCACACACTCTGTGCTAAAACAGAATAAAATAGACCTTTAGTCCACCATTCAAAGGATTTTTTCAAAAGAAATTATTACTTTTATTCAGCAAGAACACATTAAATTGATCAAAAGTGACAGTATATAGAATTTTACACAAAATTTCAAATAACTTCTGCTTTTTTAAACTTTTTATACATCAAAGAATCCTGAAAAAAAATCAAAAATATCAAGCAGCACAACTGTATCAGGCTCCTATATTTATGTTCAATTCTTTCACTTTAATTGCATTAAAAAAAAAACTATACATTGCCATTAGACTAAAATTACTGAACCTAAACATAGGAGCCTGATAAAACAAAGTGCTCAATTTAGATGAAAATTTCAGACGGCTCTTAGAGCCTTTTGCATCTGAATATATGTGTGTGTGTGTGTGTCTTTATCTCTTTATAGTAGTCTTTATCACCCATACCTGCAACTACTAAAAGTCCATCCTGTATTTTGACAGTGATCTCCGAGGGAGCGAAGTGATTGACATCCAAGCTAATTTTCCACTTGCACATCTCACCAACCACTTCCGACACCCCTCCACTCATCTCCCTTCGTAGCTTAGACATGCGCTGTCCTGGGGCCTGAGCAAAGGGAGTGAACACGGCTGTGCGCAAGTACCCAGGCCAAGACGACGTCCCCAGCCTTCTGAAGATGCCCTCCATCCAGCTGAGGTCTTGAGGGTCCAATAACGGAGGCAGGCCGTAATGTTGGTTAAAGATTACGCTGGGCCATCTGTAGCTCAGGGGATTCCAAGATACATCATGACAATATTGAGGCCTGGATGGCGACTTGATAGCATCCGCCATAGTGAGAAAATCGAAGCGTGAAAGGAAGAAAAAGATTTGGAAGGTCCAGCCACAGTAGAATTAAAGAAGTGCTAACTGTACCAAAACGAGACCACTGCGCAATAAATGCAACCCCAAATGTGAGCGGCAGACATCGCAGACGCTGTTTATATAGCGTCCTTGTGTTTTAACACTTACTAAGCACTAACCATGATGCTATCAGAGGAGAATGTAGGAACGAAGTGATGGCTAGGTTCAATCTGCTGCTGGAAGGGTGGAGGGGCTCTATGGGAGATGCTAATTAAGGATATTTATAGATCGAAAAGGGAAGCAACAAATAGCTATTTGATGAGAACGAACAGCCTGAGTGAAGTCCTGCTTAGCCTTTGACAGGCAAAGAGCTTTTTATTGATCTGATCGTTAATGGCGATGTAGAAACTATTAAAGTGTTGAGGTGTCTATATAGAGGTTGTGAAGGCGTCTAAGTGCTTGTTAACTTTATTTCTTGGAATCCGAATGAAAGAGTGCACAGGAGACTTTCTTTAATGGGCCCAGTGCAGCCAACTCACCATTATTAATCTCAGCGCCGAGGCATACAGCTGCTGCACAATTATGTTTTCTCAACACTTTATTGTTGTGTTCAGGTTCTATTTAATATTCTGTGTTTCGGGAGCCTGTACCTGGTGTGCAATATGATTAAAAATGTA